GATTTAAGGGAATATTTTGTAGGAAGGAGCAATGCGGGAGTACAAGGAGTCCCCAGGTTAAAACGCCCAGCTTAAGGACAACCCATAGTTAAGAACGGAGCCTACTGTAACAAAACTTAAGTTAAATACACAATGGTTCAAGTTCATTGCACAATACTATTTATTATTATACAATAATACTGTTTTGGCTTACCTACAAATTCGACTTAAGGACAGACCTTAGGAACAGAACTCGTTCTTAAACTGGGGACTACCTGTATTCTGAAAGTGATAACATCGGAAGTGAAAAACAATGGAACGCATAGAGGATATCGTTGCTTTTTGCACTGCTTATACAATGGGAACATTTTTTATCAATCTGTCTGAGTCTTGGTGTATTAGAAATCTCAAGCTAGTAGTAGAGCAACCTGAAAACTTCACATACCTTTAGATTAAAAATTTTCAGAGTTATAGGAAAACAAATGAGTTCTCCATGGCAATCAACATGGCTATCCATCAAATGAGAAATAATGAATAAAAAGTAAAGAAAAGCAATGGATCAAGCCTGATTAGAAAGCCAGAGCTGGCTATACCCACCATGACGAGCTATCACACAAAGTAAAAAATAAATCAAATTATAGCCCGGTTATAATTATATCTCATGTCAAATTATGCAAAACTGCCAGGAAAAAAAAAATTCTAACATAATGATTAAAGTGTTGGATTCAGAGTAGAGGGATTTGAATGATTTTAGGTCCAACAGTCTCTCTCAACCCAACCCCCCCATAGGGAAACTCTTATAGGGGTAAAATTAGGGGAGACCCCTGTGTTGTAAGCTGCCTTGAGCTCTCAGAGAAAAGGCAGGGTAGAAATGCCATGAATGAATCAACCAAACATTTTATATTCTTCTTATCATTGACTTCTTATCATTGACTTAAAGAAATGAATGAAGATGAGATATACTCCTTTGGACTTGACCTATGATCTCCAGTGTTCTACCCCAGAGATGTGAGAGCATAGAGCAATGTTGAGGAAAGAAGCTTTGTGCTACAAACATGTTTAATATAAGCAAATAAAGCTCCAGTTTTCAGTGAAAAATTCTTAACTCCATCAAATTCCCCCAAAGGATTAAGTATATTTGATGTTTCCCAAAAGGAGTATGTATAATTGATATACTTAGAACATTTTTTATCAGTGTTATTAATTTATTGGGAATATTTACACTGCAGTCATCCAGGCCTCATATTGTATAAATATTACATAAGGGGGGAAAAGATACTGTGCATTTGTGAATGGTTGATTAGCTGTTTTGTACCACTTGCTGGCCATGCTTAAGACAACCACAGATCTTTCTCTCTTGGATTCTTAGCTCAGAATCTGATCTTTCTGGCAATTCAGCCATTTCTGAAGCCCCAGAAGACATGTTGCCATTGTTTGAGCCCTGGCACTGCATCCCATCTTCACAGAGATCTCCACTGATCAACACAAATTTGCGGAAGGGAGATGATGGTCTTGAAAAATCCAAAGCTGCCAACGGTAAGTTACTATGAGCAGCAAACATCTCTGTTTTCACTAAAAGGCATTGAAACAATTCAAGACATCCCCACTGATAAAGAACATCCAACTGAAGTCACTCCCATGGTTTAGCAGCTATATGTCTCCCCTCCACTCCCCATCATAACCTCCTTATGCTTCAGCTTCTGCCCTGCCTTTCTCCAAAGTTATTCACAGGGTTCTCTGGTATTTAATGTACTTTCCCCTTTTGGGCCTCCCTTAGCCTTAGCTTTCTATCTCCCACATTGCTCTGTTTCACTTTGTCATTGTTTGCTTGATCAACATGATTAACTTTTCCCTTGAAGTCAGTTGTGAGAATTATGTAACTTCTACCAAGGAAAACAAATGTTTCCTTTTTCTCCCTTATTTTTGAGTGAAAAACCCACAGGCAAGAGAAACAATAGAGATACAGAAATGGCTGGGCATAAATGAGCTATTGTGCTATAACATTCTGCAAAAATGGACTTATTTTAAAATTGAGAGTTAAACAGCTGAGCCTGTCTAAGGGAAAAACTGTTTGGAGAACATTGCCCTCTAGTGGCTGATATTTAAATATTGATCTGCCCACTGGATATCTTGAAGTTGTTAGGTGTCATTCTTATTGCATAAAACATTGTAATTTTGTACTCTTCTACATGAAATGTAAACTTCTTGAGTGAACTGTTCTATGAAGAAAACTTAACTGAATTTTGTATTGCCACAAACTGCAGCAGGACTTCCTCTGTTTAAACAAATGTCGTCTATAGCTGGTTTTTCCTCTTTCCCCTCTAGCATTACAACGAGCCTACAGTCTTCGTGACTCTTCTTCATCAAAAAAATATCAGAACTGGAAAAAGAACATTCAGTCAAGTAAGATATAACATGATTAACACTCCTGATTCAAGTATTCATTTACCTACACTCTTCCCTAAACCATTTCATTCATGTTCAACTTTAATTTGTGCCTTTTTTCAGCGGACATATTAGATGCGCCATAATGTCCACCCTAGACTCATGACTTGAATATGATTACTTTTAAGGAAACTGCTTTGATATAAACTTTAGAGTTTCAAAGAGATGAGATCCAATTTCTTCATTCCCCGCCCCCCAGAACACAGCTTGGTCCATCTGGCCTGCAAATCATCTCTGGAGCCTGATTCCTCTCAGCTCTTTTGAGTTCCATTATTAGTGCTAAGACTATAATCTTCGGTATCTTCGGCCTCTCAGAAAAGGCTGGCTGGAAACATTTTGTTGCTTGAGGCAAAGTTACTACCTATTTCCCCTTCTGTAGAATGGTATAGAACAGTGTTTCTCAACCTTGGCAGCTGGAAA